TCTGCAGCGTAAATATTCATTTGCCCAACGTGACAACACCGCGTCGGCACAATGCACACGTTGGATTTTATAAGCGCTGAGCGCTGAGCTCCGCAGTGGCCACAGCCAATCTGAGTCACCCACGTCACAGTCTGCAACTGAATGTTGAATTTTGTTACATTGCACAAACGTAATACGTGAAAATCGCTGTGTCAGTTTTTTTATGATAACGTTTACCTACGGCTTATCTATCAAAGGTAAGTAATTGCATATTTTATACAAAATGTGAAGCATTCATCCGCATTATTTTGTTTAGAGACGAATAAATTAAAATGGATAAGTTTCTCAAACTTAAAAGAAAAACTACTGTGGAACAACTCATAATTAATGATGATGAAGCAAGCACCAGCGGAGATACTGGAACTTTACGAAGTGGGGTTGATGACAAATCGAAGCGCAGCAAAAAAATGTTGAACCGGCAATATTTGGATGAATATTTGGATTATGGCTTATGGCTATGGATTATGGCTAATATCGTGGGACTTTTGCGTAGGAATTTGTACGGATGGTGCCCCTTCCATGGTAGGCTCCATAAAAGGTTTTTGTACCCTTGCAAATAAGCTAAATGAAAATAGCATATCTACGCATCGTTTCTTGCATAGAGAATCTCTAATTTCAAATACGCAAAAAACAAAGTATGAATGTTTGTTGCTGCACACCGAAGTTAGATGGTTGTCAAGGGGCAAAGTATTATGTCGAATTTATGAACTTAGAAAGGAGCTGTTAACTTTTTTCCAAGAAGAAGGTAATGTCACATATACCACATATTTTGAAACGTTAACTCAAGTATGCAAGGCAAAAATTAAAAAATATTTTAACATTCACGGACAAGATGTCAGCATTCCAGAAAAAATTGTCATTTTGGAAGAAGCGCATTTTAGAGACAAATAAAATGGATATGTTTCCACTGCTTCAGAATGAAGGTGATGAAGATAAAGAACAAGAAATCACGCATATAGTTACAGAACACGTATCACTATTAGAGGAGGCGATTGCCAGGTATTTTCCATCTCTAAACGTAGAAAAATATGACTGGATAAGAAGTCCTTTTAGCACAAGTAATACAGCCAATTTCCAGTTTTCTCTGAACCAAGAAGAAGAATTTATTTCGTTGTCATCTGATCGTACTCTGAAAATTATGTTTTCAGAAGTGAATGTTCAGGAATTTTGGATCTTGGTCCAAGAGGAATATCCACTTCTTGCCAAAAAAGCGATTAGTATTTTAATACAGTTTTCAACGTCCTATTTATGTGAATTTGGGTTCTCATCTTTAACAAACATTAAAAATAAGAAACGGGAAAGGCTGCTAAACTTAGAAAAAGAAATGAGACTAGCTCTTTCCCACATCAGGCCTGATATTGAGCAAATTTGCAAACGACACCAGGCACAAGTGTCTTACTAATTTGAAGTATTTACTCATATGATGTATTTTGAGAATTACGCTTTTGTTAATTTTAAAAATGTTTTTTGTTTTCATATTTTAAGTAAAAATTTTTAAATTTGAGTACGTATAATAAAGTTTATTACAGAATTTATGTGCAAATCCTAATTTGTTTATCAATATATGCATGTTATTGCTTTGGTGTTCCGCAATTTTTTTCGGCAATTAAAAGTGTTCCGTCGCCACAAAAAGGTTGAGAACCACTGCATTAGAGCATCAATAAAAAAGCACTTGAAAGCTTGAAGCGGAGAATTTACCGATTTTTTAAAAAAAAATTATAGTCGATGGTCCAGAGGGTATAGTAATAGAAGGTAAATTCCAACTGTTATCGCTTTTTGTTACCAATAGGTTTTGAAGTAAGTGGCTGTGGCAAATCAATATTTTTCTTAACCAAACAGATACTTACTTGTTTGTTTTCAAGAGGTTTTGAAGTACCTGGTTGTGACAAATCAATATTTGTGCTTTCCAAACATATATTTACTGTACTCCTTACATAATTCTCAGCAATTTCCTCATCCAACTCAACAATCGTATACAATACATAACACATAAGATTGTTTTGTCTTTAAAAATTAAATTTGTTAAAAATTTAATAAAACTGGAATTGTTTTTATGTATTATGTAAAAACCAGTATACTTGTATAGTTGACACGTAATTTCGTGAGAAAATTTATAGGACCCAGAGCGAGCCAAATCCTAGAAAATGGCAACAATGTTAGACTGGCCACTGCTTCGTTGAGCAGTAGCGTAGATATCTAATTTAAAATTAATTAAAAAAGTTTTTATTTTTATTTAATTTGTTTTAAGAAAAAGTTTCATTTTCTATACAGTAAAAAATTGTTAATAAAAGTAATTATCACATACAATTAAACAATTTTTTAGGTAAAAGTATTTTAGTATACAAACGTTTTAATAACACAACTACAAATCTTAATTATGCTGGATTTTCACAGATCCGATGACACGAAATACGAAATTTTTTTGTATGAATATATTTGATTGTCGTATCCGAAATTTTTTGATATATATGTGTTATGTGTCATATTATTGGATGGAATGATATTTATTTCAATGAACTGTCAATCAATGTTAGCTGTATTGTTTGATATATAATAATATATTATATTGAGCTACGTTCTCGTAAGTTTTGCCTCACATAGTGTAGAAGACCCAAAAGCAACACTTTATTTATTGCATTTATATAATAATTAGGTCTTTGTTCAATTTTAAATATATTTTAAATAGTAAACATAAAGACTCCACAAAAAAAAAAGGTTAAGGTTCAAGTTAGAAATGTCAACAATGTCAAAATTTATTCGATTTTCGTGCAAAAGTTAAAATATTTCAAACATCTTCCGATGACTTAATTTCGTACGAAAATTTTACCTGTCATTTTTCAACCAATGAAATTCTCTGAAATTTATATCGTATCATCGTACCATCGGATATCGGATCTGTGAAAATCCACCTTTATTGGTTGAGTGACAAGGTTTCATGTGTCACCTCGATTTGTCGATTTGAAGAATGTCATTCTAGTTTGGTTTTATTTATGTTCACGGATGGAACCTTGGCATTGTAATGAGTCAGAATTGCGTTGTTAGCCAGCGCTGTTGTCAGATCAAAATATAGGGAAGATCAGTTGGAACCTTTTCACACTAATAACTCCAAATATGCGATTTTGTTAGTTGGAACCCTGTCATTTTAACCTAACGATATGTTGTACGTTTTTGTTCTATCATGAAGTGTATTTGTACTCTATTTTCAAAGATATATAAGCAAAACGAGAATATCTACAATTACAATAAAAATAAAGGTTTCAGCCAACACCTAGTTGGAAATAAGAACTTAAAAATCTACTCAGATTCACTGTTATCACTAGTATCAGTTGTATCTTCTAAATTTATAGTAAATTTGGTTATTGCTGGTAAATATTTAACATAGTCATTTTCCACTTTGATTACATGTTTGATTACATTTTTGTAGTTGGTTGCTGTGATCTTTGTGACTTCTGTTTTAATTAACTGGAGAGCAGTAAACAAAAATTTAGGAGCCACGTTTTTTCTTCTTCTATTTGCTTCAAGTTGAGTCCATATTAACTCTATTGGGTTCAATTTACAATAGTAAGGAGTAAGTCCAAGCACGGTATGCCCATTACTGCTAGTACAGTTATCAACAACATATACCTTCTGGCGCTGTCTACTATAAACAATCTCTAACAATTGCTTTTTACTATGATGCCTCAAAGTACAAATCTCTCCCAAATAAAAATTCTTGAATTTGTTTCAAGTACTATTTGGAATTTTCTCATTAATCTTAAATGATATGATACGTTGTCCATATAATAATCACTCTATATTTAGGTAATCTCGGAAGAAGAGATTCTTCAAACCATGATTCAAAAATTAAACTTTTCATGTCCTCATGATAATTTAAAGACGCATCTTTATTTACTTTTGCAGATATTAATAATACATAATCGATCCATCTATTTTCTCCACCGCAGAGTAAAATTATAATTCTATGTCCTGTCATGAGTATCACACCAAGTCTCATCTAAATAAACACGATTTCGTTTCATTTTTTGATACTCAGTTATCTATCGGATAGAAATGTCTCTTTAAGAAATAATTATTCTAGTACTTTCCATTAGTGTTTGGCGCTTGTCTATAGTTTTTTACTTAAAATTATGGGTTTTAAGAAATCATCAAAGTGTTGTTGCTAATTATAAGAAAATAATATATCCTTTCGAACCAACTCACTTCGAAAGCTTTCAATAGTTGAAAAAATATTAGCCACTTCCATTTTATATATTGTTCTGTTTATATGTTCCTTTAGAAGCGGTTCTATTTGTGTGAATTTGCACAATCCTTTCTCACCTGTCTAGAAGAAGATGTTGCTCCTATAGTCTTGTACCAGATTGCTTTCGACACTCTGATAAACATGTTTCTACAATTGTTTCTTATTTAGACAATTTAGAACACAATCCTTCATAAACATGTTTCAGCATATGTTTGGGATCATCAGAGAGATACTGAAAATGTCGCTTACATTTTACTACACAGCTTTGTAAATATTCCAATTGATTAGAGGGTTCCACTGGCTTTTCAGCTGCAGAATTATTATCACACTACGGGTGCCACATTTTAAAAGTATCTTCGTAAAATTATAAAGTTTACTGTTGATAAATGTTATAAAGTTTAATGCATTGATGCATTTTTTAATATCTAAGTGAGGAATTTGGTTAGTTCTGTCATCGGATTTCTCCATTTTACAAGCTTTTTTGGCCATTTGATGATCTCATTTCCTAAATATTTAAGGAATCTGTGAATATTACTGTCATGTCTTCAGGTCGATTAAGAGTTTCTTGTATTGCCTTAGATATAGCAAAAAGGTCAGCAGAATATATTAAGTAGTCGTTAGGTAGTGGAAACTTGAGCACAGAATCCTCTGTGACAATGGCGGATTTTTCTAAATATATTTAAATCTTATTTAACATATTTACAAGCTACAAATGTTGTAGGTTCAAAAAATCTGGAAAAAGCTTTATTTCGAAGAAATTGAACCCGAAGTAAATGAGCCGTTCGCTACATTCAGTCATAGCGATCTCTGGGTTAATAATATTATGGTGAAATATGCCGACTCTACACCAACTGAAATAAAATTTGTAGATTTTCAGGTTTATGAATACTACTCACCAGTAATAGACTTTATATATTTCATGTTTACGAGCGTCCAAAATAAGGTACTAAAAGAAAATCTCGATCATTTTGTAAAATTCTATCATAGCAGCCTTTTACAAAATTTAAAAGATCTAGGATGCGATATTGAGCCATTTAGTTATGATGAATTTTTAAAAGAATTTAAAGAATATGCATATAAGCCGCTGGTTTGGATATTAACTTTTATCCCGTTTGTGGTTTTTGGACCAAAAGGTGATTCTACGGAACCTGGTTTGGAGGATATTAAATTCAATGATAGTTTAAGTGTAGAAGATGCCAGAAAGCGATTGCCCCAGGTAGTTAAAGAAAAAATACACATTATTGTTGAATATTCCGCAAAAAATAACTGGATTTAAATTGTTATATTTTGTAAAGCTATTATTATATAATATATTTTCTTAAACATAATATTTTTATTAATTTTTATTCCATATTTTCTCCTTATTTTGATTTGTTACCTATACTATTCAACGCCTATTTACTATTACCTCTATTATCTCATATTTAGTATTACTTATTACTAAATTACATTATATTTTTACCAAATACGTCTTCTATATTACAGTAGGACACACTGTAGCTTAACCCATTATGACCCGAGTTATTTTTTTTTTGTAATGTATTAAAAAACCTAATATATTTTTATTAAAAATTGATATTAATAGACAAATTAACCATTTTTTACCCCAAAAACTTATTAACTATCAAAAAAATATGTATTACATAAATGTAACACTAGGTCAATCCGGGACCGTAACTAAAATAAAATATGAAATTTATATTATAACTAGAAGTTCTTGATATGAAAAGTATAATTGCAGTTAAAACACATGCTGACATTTGCTACACATTGTTCGAGTACTACTGCTACACCCCTCTCCTGCACAGCGATGTCTTTTGTTGTTAGGTATAAATATTAGAAGGTGATTGTTCTAATCGTACATTTGTAACGTCTAATCTTATAAATACCAGGGCGTTAAACAACCCCACACTGTGGGAAGAAACGAGGGGAGAAATTCTTTGAATATCCCTAAGGATATTCAAGAGAAAAACCCCCACCTTTCCATCCACCAGAATGGTGCTCTGCCCGACTGCTCAGCCCTGGGATCGTTCCCTGTTCATTCTCCCTCTACACCAATCCCAGAAAGGTACAAGAAATAAAAATACTTTGTTAAGCCATAACAAAAGGTATATTTATGTATTAAATAAAAAAAAACAAAATTTATATTATTAATGAGAAACAAAGATTAATAAACTGTGACCCAAAGATTAAGCCGGTTGCCGGTATGAAATAACTAAAATACAAGACAAGTACTCAGCTTTATTTTGTTCGGAATGAGTTGTCCAGTCTTTCAGGAAGGGTTGTATCTGGTTGCTGATTGTTGCCCAAGGTATTGTGGTTGGCTGTTTTCTTGCTTCCACGGTAGTAGCTAGAAAATTCAAACAAAGATCAGTTCTCTTCCAAAAAACTATATATGCATAACGCACGCTTAACTTCAGGAAGTATTTACGACCTGAGGGTAATAGTTGTCTAAAAACTATAAAAAAAACCATTTTAGAACGCCATGTAATTACACAAAAGGTGTCATCTGTGACAGCTGCATAATAAAATTTGTGTTTCGAACAAAGAGTATTAATTGAAATACACAAAGATAATTCCAAACATGGAAAGGGTAGAATCTGGTGGTGGCCCAAACCCAAGATAACACATATTCATCAATAAAAAAATCGTGAAAAATGCACGATAGAGAAATAAAAGATAAATTAAGAACTTCGAAAAATCAATTACAAAATAATTGACAGAACTGTTGTTAAAATAACGATATGGAAAATGTCTCTAAATTGTAAGAAATAAAATAAATTAATTTTTATCGATGTCTGTATCGTTATCAACGTTATCATCATCAATGTCGTTACAATCTGTTTCATCAGGTTTTAAATCTCTGACATGAAAATTCCCTAAATCAATACCATTAAGATTCTTAAGAGCATAAACGGTGGAAGAAATAACTTTGTCAATAATGTAAGGAACAAATTTCGGTGCAAGTTCTGAGGTAAAATTATCGACAGCTTTAGACAAGACAAAATTTCTTTTCCAGACTTTCATTCCAGGGGGATAAGTAGGAGAGGGCCTTCTATGTAAGTTATAAAAATCCCCGTTGGTAGTATAGGAATGACGAATTCTCTTCTGGACTTAGCTTATAGGGGTCAAGCTTTTGGGAGGTAAGGGAGAGAAAAGACTGTTGTTGATAATAGGTAAAGAAATAATAAATAGGACTAAATCTTCAGGCCTCGATACAAAGTTAAACAAATGCTGAAATGATAAAAACCCATATTAGGGTGTTGTCTAATAAAGATAAACAAATTAGATGTTATAAATTACAATAATTATGCCAATATTACATGTCTGTGGTTTTATTTAAATGATTGAGTTGAATTAAAGGTATAAAAATTTTTTTAAAAACGTTAAACAGACAAGGTAAGGCCCACAAATTGTTATAAAATCTCTTCTATTGTAATAAATTAATAAATGAGCAAATAAATAAATAAAATAAAAATTACTTACATGCCGGTATTCTATTAATAGATGGATGGTAGAACATGTTTGAAACTACTTTATATTGTTGAATGGAGAACTCAATACTATTATTGCAGTTGTTTGACAGTAAACGGGAAGTTCTTGAGGAGATAGATTTGATCCAATGAATTTGAGATATGTGTGAGATTGTTTGTTAAATGTAAGTGATGTAATATACTATTGTGTTATTAAAAGTTATTTATACTTATTCCAGAGATATATTTTTGAAATGTGTGTTATTTATTGAGTAATTGTTTTATGAAGGTGACATTTTATGACAATGAATAAGTGTAGATGTAAAAATTGTGTGGGTGTGCAATTATTTTCAAACTTGTAGTTATCAAATTACTTTGATAAAGTTCTATTGGCAATGAGTTAATTATTGGAATAGTCAAGTGAATAAAATGGTAAAATACAAACACTTAAGGATAATTTAAACACACTAAAATAGAAAACACTTAGAAGGGACGAAACAAACATTGAATTTAAAAGGGGGAAGGACTTTAATGCACTACATCATAGTCTTGGGCACAATGAGTTTTTTTATTGTTGTATCTATTAGATTTTAGTGGTAAATTTTGACAGATTAGGTAAACAGTAGGTTAGCATGTGACAGTTTAGACATAGTTTTATTTACCCTCTCAGTCGGGTTAATCTGGGAAAAATATCTGGCATTGTACCAGATTTTCTGAACATTGTATCGTTGCATAGAGTCTTTAAATTCCTTGGAGATGAATTGAGGACCATTGTCAGCAGCAAAGATCAGCGGGACACTGAAGATTAGGAAGACCTGATTTTCAATAAATTTTACAATGCGAGCAAATGTCGCTGAGGACATAGGGTGAACTAAGATAAACTTGGTGAACCAATTAACAATGACCAAAAGATATCGATTGCGCTTCTTAGACCGAGTGTAAGGACCTAGAAGGTCAGCTGAGAGGAACTAAGAGGGGTAGTTTATATCCCTGTATTTACCCATCCGTCCTGCTGGGGATAAATATGATGATTTACAGGAAGCGCAAACCTTGCATTTAGAGACATATTTTGAAACAAAATGTATCATTTTTGGCCAATAGTACAATTCAGAAATTCTACCAAGGGTTTTTGATACACCTACATGACCTGCTGTAGGTTCATTGTGATACATCTGGAGGATGAAATTTCTGCCCAGAGAGGAAACAAAAATTTTCCAATTAGGAGAGGAATCGCAGAATTTTGAACGAGAGAAGTCGTGCTTGTACAAGACCTTGTCTTCAGCTTTACGAGAAGGGTATTTATGCAGGTCATTAGTAACCTTCTTGATTAAGGTGTTATACCAATTGTCCTTATTGAAATTAGACAAATTTAGGACTGAAACTTCTGGGACATTTTCTGGAATTCTGGAAAGAGAATCGGCAACGACATTAAGAGAACCACTATAATGCACAATTTAGAACTTATAAGAAGATAACTTTATTATCCATCGTGCTAGACGAGGAGAAAGATTTTTTTGCTGATATTCTATTAAGCGAGACACTAAACATCGAAGAACTGGGTCTTCCTCTATGCTTTGGTACATTTGTATATTATTTTTAAGATATCACTGAGCAGTACATCTTCTGAAATATAATTGGGAAATCTTGGGGTAGTAGTGCTTGTGCATCTATCAGCTATGTAAGATACATCACTACCACTTCTTTAAACCGCTTCCAATTCTCTATGTAGAGATGTTTTGGTCCATTAAATTCGTTTCTCCCATATTATTGTTATATTTGGCAATGATTTGAAATCTTGGAATTTGCACATATATCTACCTACATACAGTTCCTACAGGCGCAGCACCATAAACTGTAGATTCAGCAGCCATAACGTTATTGTCTACCTACTTTATGAAAAAATCCCAAGATCGCTGTCGATACATGGAAAGGTTCCCGTATTATTATACCCTTTTAATTATAAGTATTTAATACGTTTATATTAGGGAAAAGATTATCCACATAGAAATGATAAGGATACAATTATTATTTATGTGGTATCTGCTCCAACATTTTTATCAGCGGAGTGGTAGGTTTTCCAAAGGTTTTTTGAACTGTGGTGTGTATATCTTTTTGTTTGCCTTGGTAAAATTCAAAATTTAGAAGATATCCATTGTAGGAATTGAACTTTAACATCTTGAAACCAAATCTAATTGGCTTAGCTTTTATAAATTGCTTGCACATATGCTTGCCAAAGTATCGAATCATTGACTTATCATAAGACAGGTGCTCAACGGGAACAAACTGTTTATAAAATTTTTTTACCATATTTGCAAGCGGTCCTAGTTAAAAGAGTTTGTCATTAGCATCTACTTTGGAGTTATCTGCGCAGTGAAGAATGCCATGAGACGGGAATCTTTCCTGTCTTATGGCACTATAAACTGCTTTATTTCGCATGTCAGGCTGGCTGTCCCAAAAATGTCGCTTGCTAGGTTTGCAGTCGTATCCACTCACGATTAGAAAGGCAATGAAACATCGAATTTCTTCCGCCGTAATTTGAGAATCTGGACAGTTTTTAAAAATGGCTTACCTTCTTGTTTCTGTTACTAACATCAATATTATCATCTAACATTTTTTCTACCAGAGCACCAGGATCTTTTATATCTTTTTTATTACTTTGCACAGGAAAAGGTCGTGCATGTGACGGAACTAAATCACAATTCTCGTTCCCGTTAATTTTACTCTTAAGCTTATTTTTTTGGGATATCGTCCCTCTCTTCCTGCTTTTCAAAATTCTCATTTTCTATAGTTTCTCCATCTGTATTTTGTTAGGATGCATCATATGAAAAAGCTTCGTCATCATCACCATGTCTACA